CCCTTTTTGTTTTTTTTTTTTTTTTTTTTTTTTTTTTAAAATGTAAGGAGCATTTAAATCAAAATGCAGCCCTCTGCTGCTGCTGTTGACTTGCTCTCCTGAGGGGAATCTGTATGTTAACTAAAAAATCCCTGTAAGTATGCTATTGCACAGATGTTAATATAAATAATTACCTGTTTTAATTTACTTTTCTTAGTGTAGTCTATAAAAAGATGCTATGGTTGATCAGTTTATAAATAAATATAGTTTATTAATAGATAATTTACACTGAGTGGGTGTCCACTGTGTTTGTTGAGGCACTCCTGGGAGTTAAAAGGACTTCATGTTGTGCAGGTCCTTTGTGAACAGGCTTCCAGCAAACGACCTATGAAGTCTGGCCAAAGTTTTTTGAGCTCCTATACATGCTATAAGCATAAAAACAAGTCCAAAATATCTTCTAGTGGTCAGACGGGAATGAAGTATCTATGATTTTATTTAGTAGATAAACAAGTATCAACAGGGTACAAGTTTCAGACAAGACTGTGTGATATATAACAATGTGCCTTTTTAAAACTATTTTTTCTTAGCATATCTAAATGCTATGCTAGGGGGTCTTTTTTTTTTTTTTTTTAAACACTCTCTCCAGAGAGGTATTGCAAAGAGTAATAATCTTGTATTATGTCCTCAGAATACCTACAGAAATCAGTCAAAACTTACAGTAACCCTTGTGTCCTTGTAGGCACTTCAATCAAACTAGGTTTCCAATGCCCAGGAGACATGAAAGAGTCTTTCTACAAAGTGTATTAGTAGCAACGGCTGTATCAGCCTCCCTTGAAGTGTCTGGAGCCAAACACATTAGAATGAGAAAAATTCAAACAATAAAATTTCTCTTGGAAATTATTTGTGTATGACATTAATAGCAAAGCTCAGAGCCAAAAAAACATGAGAAGAGAGGGGAGTGGGTTTATTTTAAATTGAATTGTAATAGCTGCCCAAGAAAGGAGTGCCTCAATGAACACAGATATAACTAAGATTTACTCGTTATTAAATGTGATTTCAAAGAACTACATTTTTCAAACTATCTTTCTAGTAACTGTTAATTATGATGCAAGAATGCACCATTGTAATGGTCTAAAATGCAGCCCAACTTCTAAAAGGGATTGTGTGACATGAGTGGCAGCACTCAGCAGTTTTAGACTCAGCAGACCCCAAACTCTCTTCCAGTCTGTTTTTATAACACAAGAGGAATAGGAGACCTCAAAAACCTGTTCTAATGGATGTTGATTGATTAGAGTCTTTCTGTTAATGCATACTAGAGACGCATGGGGAAAGAGCAGTCCTTCTTGAAAGGAGGGTGGGGAGCATCTGGGGCATGACGAAGTACAAGTATGTGATTTCCCTTGCAAGATCAGCCCACGCTAGCTGAGAGTGGAGCGGAGGCTCTGTGGATCAGCCACATTCACTTGGGAGGAGCACGCATGGCAAAGTTGCTTATTTCCACCCCCATCCTCTCCCCTCCCTTATGCCAGCCAAAGTGCTTGTGCAGCCACCCAAGAAACCAGACAGAAGAACTTCTTCCAGCTGGAAGGAGAAAAAAAAAAAAAATGCAGGCTAATTTTTTGGCTGGGATCAGATCCCTGACCTGGTTCCGCACATAACTGCACAAACACTTACGCTGGCAGTAGGGAGGGCGCCCGGCGGGAAATGGAAAAAGCAGCTGGGAGTGAAAAGGGTGGGGACAAGCCGGTTCAAGCAGCATTACTGCTGGATGTGTAACCACAGCGTTGCAGTGCTGGTGCCACCAGTGGAGCTGGCCTCTGCAAAGGGGACATGCGAAGAAGAGCTGCAATTCTTGGGCAATTCTTGGGCTTCAGCACTAGCCAGTAGAGACTGCTGGCAGCAAAAAGTAGGCCATGATGTGTGAAGACTGATGCAAGAATTGCTCTTCCCCACCACTCTCAGATTTGTTGTGGTACTCAAGAGAGAACCATAACCAAGACCGCAAGAGTTTCTGTAGGACGACTACACTTCTAACAGAGCAAATTAACAGGGCAACTTCATTTCTTAACTCTTCCCAGGCCTTGATTTTGTGTTGTAAAAGTGGTTTGGTTTTGTTTTTGAGACACCCTTTCTCCATGCTGTAATTTTGGGCCACCTTTTCACTATTTCGGGAAAGAAGTGTGCTACTATCTGTTACGGGTGCATTCACCTGATTCTCTGAGAGGATATGAAGAGAGCTTGACCTGTTTAGCCTTACAGAATGAAAAACCAAGAGGGATACTGATGCCAGCTACAAAGCCACTAAACTGGAAAACTCTAGGGAGATGGAAACGCAGCATTAGCACAGGAACTAATTAATAAACTGGCCAAGAAGAAATGCGAGGTTAGAAATTAGAGGAAGGTTCTTGGCTTCCTAAGGGCTGATGTTCTGGAGAAGCCAGCCAGTGACAGTAGCAAGGACAAGAAACTAAACCGGACTGGAGATATAGTTTGCTGAGTTTACCGAAAGGATTACCTGATATGGCTGCCTGTGACAGCCAGGGACTGATCCCGCTAACCATCCTTGTCCCAGGTCCCATTTCCCGTGTTTCACTGGTGGTTGTCTTTGAAGAGCAAAACTCAGCAATGCTGCAGTACATGCCGTTGCAAAAGTGAAGGCAAGTGACTAGGTAGCTAAAGGTCCATTTTTTGTAATTTCTTTAGGAGCATTAGTCCCATTGTCTTTCAATTAATGGTAGGGTTATAGCTCCTGATTGCCAGGACTAGCTTCACCTTTTATAGGAGAAAACCATATAGCATAGCCTAGTGTTTGGGAGAGTAATAATCTTAAGGAAGGCTCTGGAGACAAAGAACACAAAGATGCAAGTAATACTTCTAAAATTCTCCCAGAGGGTGATAAATGAGCATGTACTTACCCAATGAATCATTAAATTGTATGAAAGCAAGGCTAGAAGGGATTTTTAAGGAGTCACCAATTCCTCCTCCTGCTCCACGAGCACAGCAGGTCAGTGGTATCTGTCCCGTTAGCACAGACTTTGCTCCAGCCCGCTTTGAAAGCGTTCCAGATGTGGAGGTTTCCAAGGCAGCCTATCCCAGTGCTTCAGTAACACCATCCTAAAGGCTAGAAATGGTTTTGCTAATATCTAATAAAAAAAGGTCCCTGGTGCAATTTTTGCCTGTTATTCTTATCCTCTCCACGTGGGAGAGAAGAGATTATTTCCTTCCTCTTTGCTGCAGTCGTTTACATTTTTGAGGACTGTTATCATGTCTCTGTTCAGTCTTCTCTTCTCTATATTTAAGAAAACAAAAATTCCTTTGTGCTTTCCTCATAGGTTATATTTCATAGATCTCTTCATGTGCTCTTGTTGCTCTCTGAACTCTTTCCTGTTGAATTACTGGAGAGTTTTGAACTGCTGGCAATCTGCATTAGCACAGGTGAAAATGGTCATAGGGGTGCAAATGGGAGAAATAATAGAGGAATCATCTTCTGTGTATTTGCATTGATAATGGGAGTCTGGAGCACAGGCTGTAATTTTTGTGAGGTCTGACTAAGTGTGAGTTTTGTCCTTGAGAGAAAATCATTACTTCCCACTAGAAGGCCAGGACAGATGCTAGACAAGAAAGATTCTTTTAGCACTCTTCAACTTTTTAAAATGTTGTGGTAAGCCACAGTCAGAGTGAGAATAGAGTAAA